CCAATGATTAATCTGACCACTGACCAATGATTAATCTGACCAATGACCAATGATTAATCTGACCAATGACCAATGATTAATCTGACCACTGACCAATGATTAATCTGACCACTGACCAATGATTACTCTGACCAATGACCAATGATTAATCTGACCAATGACCAATGATTAATCTGACCATTGACCAGTGATTAATCTGACTACTGACTAAAAAAAAAAGTTGCAAGAGCCTATCAGTCAGCTTAAATAAATCTTCATGTTAAATAAATCTTCATGTTAGAGTTGGGTGTGGGTTGATACCAGTAAAGGATCAAGCCCTCACTCAATGCCGTTTTCTGTCCTGCTGAAATGATTTGATCACCTGAACACAGTGTTCATGGTATTTTTCACTATGATTTGTATTATAAAATTGTCTTAAATCTGTAACTTTTCTCAGGATAGTAGTTGTACTGGCAGAGCTTATAAAAGTCTTCACATTTACACAGAATCCTCAACAACTTCATGTCTTTGAGACGGCAATTAATCCTAAAGGTATGCTTATCTGAATTTCACATATAAATGAAAAAATTGCTTCCCCTATACAACTGTACAGGTGTATTCTGATACTAATGGCTAATGCCTGTTGAAGTGCCTCAGGGATGATAGAGTGTCATTCTGGCTCTCTTTCCATTCTTACTTTGTTAGATGTATTAGCTATGATGCATCATGTCAGTTATTGCTCCTCAGATAAAAAATCATGTTTATTTTCTTAAACAGTGACTTCTTGTTTGAAGTGCATCCCATTAGTAGATTATCTTTGATTCGAGTTTCTTTGAAAGTGAAGTAATTTCCATGTACATACCAGTTTACTTTTTTGATGGGTGAACCAAGCTCCTTTGTTTTTCCTTCTTATGAAGCACAAGGTTTTGTGCAATTACTCTGTAGAAGTCAGAGTTCATTTTGGATACAGAATTTGTATTTTTTATTTCCTCCATTTCAATAATTACAACCTATTGAATAATTAAAAAAAAAAGATAAAGAAAATGGAGAAGCAAGCTTGTTAGATGCCCTTTACATTAAATTACCTTTTTCACTTAGTAGAACAAGTGATATAAACATAAGAGAGGGAATATGAATCACACCTTTAACAACAAATAATTATGTAAATAGTACATTGATACTGAAAAGTAACACTACAAAAGTGCTCTTTTATAGAGTTTCTTAGTGGGCTTAGATATAGGAGTACCATTCCAATGGTAACTTCTTGTCACTGTTGGACAGAATCTCGTTATATTTATTCTGAAGGGACAAGGGTTTAGCTGCTGTAAGGGTGTACTTTTGTTGGCAAAATCATGGATCTCAGTTACCAAAGACAGTGCAAAATTAGATTTTTTTAAATCTACATTATGATCGCAAAAATGGTAGACAGATACTTAATTTAATTATGTCAGGAGGTTTAATCAGCTACAAAGGACTACATATACTTGTCAATTAAATTTAGTGAAGTAAATTCCTAGGATTTTTCCTTCCATGTAGGTTTGTGTGTTCTTTGTCCAAGTAGCAACAACTCTTTATTAGCATTTCCTGCACGTAAGATAGGACATGTTCAGATTGTTGACTTGGCCAACACAGAGCGTGCTCCACAAGAGATTTCTGCTCATGAGGCTGCACTGAGTTGCATTGCCATGAATTTACAAGGAACAAGACTAGCAACAGCCTCTGAGAAGGTGCCTTATCTAGTTTATTTACTGTGCTGAAAAGACTGATCAAATCTTTGTCACTGTCTGTTTCAATTGTGTTCAATTGTGTTCTTATCCAATTAGACATGTTTGTGACATAGCTTAGTTTGCATGTGACTCTTTTGGAACAGCATCAAACTTAATTGATTGAATTGCTTGCACAGTTGTATCCCATGATTTTTTTATAAACTACAGTGGTTATGCAAGGAGCTTGATGTTATCTTTTGGGAAAAAGGATTAAAATTCACTTTGATTTTAACATTTCTTCTACATAGTTAAACCACTGGCTGCTTCAGCAAAATCAGCTACTTTCATGAAATTTTTTATTATTAATGATAAAATTGATGGGAAAAAACATAACTCTATTACGTGCAGCATACCATTGGTCAGTAATCTTCAAAATGAGTTGGAAATGATGGGATGAGGTGGTTTCATTTGAAGCTCTACATTTTTTTATTGTCCAATCTTGGAAAGATAATTTTTAATTGCTGTAAATGCATGAACAGTTGCTTGTTGAGCTGAAGGGCATGAAAAATAGAATGCATCTTTCTATTTTTCAACATCTGCAAGCTAGAATGGTGAAGGTTATTCATATTATAATTTGTTAGTTTTGGAGTCCTTGCATTGGTAAATTTTTTTGCACTGAATCTTCTCAACAGGGAACTCTGATAAGAGTTTTTGATACAAGTAATGCGGCACAGCTCCATGAATTGAGACGTGGATCAGGAAGCGCTAATATTTACTGGTAAAATTGAATAATAATGCCTTTCATGTATTGTGATTGTTTTTGTGAGGGTAGTCTTGCAAGGAGCTATTGTCAGTGACAGTTACTTAACATTTTGATAACCTGATGGAATATCACTATATATATATATATATTTAGTATAATTTCAGAGCTGAGCAAAGAGTTTCCAGCAATCTGATTGGTCGAGCGGTTCCTTATATGACGTTAAAATAAAATGCTAATAAAAAAAAATTAATGTTACTAAAATGTTATGATTTTAGAAATTTCTCTGTTGTTCAGCTCTGAAATTACACTAAAACAATTATTCGTCTCAGGTTCGGTGAATATTGCAGCACTCCAAGCTGCAACCATTTTGGTCACCATGGTGAGTGAAAAAAATATTTGGCGACTAAAATTCTGGCAAAAGTCGCCAATTGGCAACCAACAGATTAAAAGAGAAACTCACTTGAAAAATTATCAACAATGGACGAATTTAATCAATAGTACAAGCGGCGGCATCACCTGCGTTTCTCTTTTTGCCTCTCATTGTTCAGAAACTCGACTGCGTTAAAAAATGGCAAATTCGATCGATTTGAAGGGGCAATTGGCAATGTTACATGGTCTCAGCAGCTTTGTAATGTTGAAATAAATCGTGTTTGCTACTAGACAGTCTTTTCCTTTTCTTTCTCTTACAGTAGCAAAGTTTACTGTTAAAAACGTGCCGTTTGGTGCATTAGCCCTTCGTGTAATATATCATAATATAACTGCCCCCTGGTTAGCTCAATTGGTAGAGCACCGAACTGTTGTGCGGGAGGTCGAGGGTTCAAGCACAAGCTGTTGCAGTGTCCCTGCCTGTCGGTGAATCTAATAAAAATTAAATTAAATAAATCATGAAGTGTCCTCCCCTTCCATTTTTTTTTGGGGGGGAGTGGGTGCCACTGAATTTCTTTTATGGCAACCATTTTACAATTGAAGGTCGCCAAATGGTGACTTTTTGAAAAATTGAGCTTGGAGCACTGTATTGTTGAATAATCCCCTCGACTTTGTCTCGGGGATGATTTGACAATATTCACCTCACCTTCAGCAAATAATTTTTAAATATATATATAGTGATATTCCATATAAATTCTTGAACTTGATTTGAATGTATTCCATATATATATTTTATCTCATTTACGCCAGAAGTTGTCCATCCTCACATTTTTTTCAACTCTCTCTCTATATATATATATATATATTATATATTTAACAATTATTCCACGAGCGCGCGTTGGATATGAGATGATAGATAGCCAACGAAGCGCGTAGAGCTGAGTTGGCTATAATCATCTCATATCCAACAAGAGCGAGTGGAATAATTGTTTTATTAAAAACGTTAAATTAAGTATAAAATTTTATTAAATTTTTAGCTCCCTTTTAATATTAAGCTGACACTTACGATGGCCATATTTGTAGATTATGGTATATTGGCTGATATACCATAAGGGCTAAGCCAATAAAAGGTCTTGAATTGCATTATCCAATGATCTAGTTTTTAATAAATATATATATATATGCAGTTATATATATATATATATATATATATATATATATATATATATATATATATTTATTAAAAACTGGATCATTGGATAATGCAATTCAAGACTTTTCATTGGCTTAGCCAATATGGTATATGAGCCAATATACCATAAATTACGATATGGTAAGCGTACACGTAAGCTTGAAATTAAAAGGGAGCTAAAAATTTAATAAAATTTAATAATTTAATGCAGGGTTTTTAATAAAACAATTATTCCACTCGCGTTTGTTGGACATGAGATGATTATAGCCAACTTGGTGCTACGTGCCTCGTTGGCTATCTATCATCTCATATCCAACGCGTGCGCGTGGAATAATTGTTAAATATATATCTTACTTATGACATGTTTTGGTGTTTAGTATGGCTGAGCATTTTTACAAGTTTTGCCATATACAAACAACAAGTAAGAATACTCAGCAGTACTACATGCCAAAACATCTAATACATTATTTGTTATCCAACAGCTTTATTTTAGCTGCATTTCTTATTTGGCAGGAAAGGTGAAGTAGATAGGGAAATGTAGCGTGCATAACTGACAGGTTAAATATGTTCTTTTTTAACCAACTGTCCAAACATTGGGTGATAGTAGTACTTGATTGGCATGTTATTTGTACGCTATTTAATACAGTCAATTGAAATGATTTGTGGATCAGTATATTTTGTGTCTGTGCCATATTTTGGATGGTTTCAACAAAGGTAGATGAAAAAGTCTGTTCTATTTTTTGCAGTATAAACTTCAACCATGACTCAGAACTTTTGTGTGTATCAAGTGATCATGGCACAGTTCACATCTTTGCCATTGAAGATCCAAAGAAAAATAAACAGTCAAGGTAAGGGCCACCCCCCCCCCCCCGAGGAAAATTCTCTAGATCAGCTGTATATATGTACATGTGCTTCACAGTGCAAAAATTGTATCTACCTCTGGTATACTAGTTAGAGCTGAACAATTTTGCCAGCAGCGTATAGGGTAATGACTTTTGGATTGTTATAAGATGAATTTATGATATAACATACATATTTTCTATTTCCTGCCCAACTCAAATAAATTTTTTAAGGCCATGCATTAAGGAATCACTATTCACAAATTTACAATGTATGTACTGCACTGCCTGAACTGCACTGCACTGAACTGCACTGCACTGTCTGAATTTTTAAATTTGTTTTAACTTGTGAACTCTTTTTATGTCAGTCTTGCCTCAGCACACAACTTTCTTCCAAAATACTTCAGCTCTAAGTGGAGCTTTTCAAGATTTCAAGTCCCTGGTGACCCGCACTGTGTTTGTGCATTTGGAAGTGAAAAAAATACTGTCATAGGTATGTTCATTGTTTTTTTTGTTAATGAAGAGCAATGTACACACATGCATTGCAGCTGTAAATGCATACAAATGGCTCAGGAAAGGCTGTCACAGTACATGTACACTGTACATGTACACTGTACTGTGTTTGTTGCAATATTAGCCTCCCTGCTCTGCATGTGTGGAGTAGTTCATAACTAGTTACGATCCGTGGAATAATGTTTATGCTATGAAGTAGGTCTGGGTTACTTGATGCTTCTTAGTAGAATGGTTTTTGTGTTAAGAACTTCTGACAGACAATTTCACTGAAACATCAGCCAGCATTGGAACCACATGTTTTACAGGTGGCATTTCGATGGTCACGGGTTGCAATATCGTGAGAAGCAGTCGGAGTTTTACTTGTTCAAGGAGATTTACAATTTGGTAACACTGTTACTTCATGGCTAATTCTGATCATCCGTTTCTTTTGTTGATTTCTCCGTAGCTATTTGCGCAGATGGCAGTTATTATAAGTTTGCTTTTAATACCAAAGGAGAGTGTTCACGAGACGCCTATGCACAGTTCCTTCAGATGACAGACGGAGACTGAACTACTTACTCATTCAATTAGTTTCTATTTTTAATCTTACGCTGTAACGAATGATGCAAAATATCTCCTATTTTATGAGTCATGAATCACTGTTTTCCAACTTTGTTGAAGAATTGTTGAAGTAGGTTGCTATGCATGATTGGAAAGAGGATCATGTACTTAAATACAACAGATGAATGAACTTAATGTCACCTTAACATCACTTGTGTTCAGTACCATTTTTAAGCCATTCTTTTTCTAATAGTAGTGTCGCAGTTCTTTACCTAGAAACTCATAAGAAAGCGGAAAGTAATTTAATGAAAAAAATATAAATATAAAAGAATTCCAACATTAAAATTAATTGCTAGTAATAGTAATGGCTTGCCGTGGAATAGGGTGACCAGTGTTGACAGACGAACGTTTGGTGCACTTTTTGCTTAGCGAGGAGCCCCCTCCCCCGCCGCCAATACAGTACACGATCTCAAAAATGAGTAGTGGCTTCCTCTCTGTGTTTTCCTTTTCTTAGACGATAACGAACCTCAACAGTGGGTCGTTTTAGTCGTTTGAACAAGATTTAATGAAATGCTAAAACGCTCCTCTTGTGAATAACTTGTATATCGGAATACGCATTTATGCGTCATTCACAATTCCATAAATACTGAGTACGTAAAACAATTGGAATAGTGCATGTGTAGTATAAAGAATTGTATCAGATAACTATTTTAGTATTAAAAGTTCTATCCTTACTTTGACATAGTTACGCACAGTTTATTATACCGGTGAAAGTTACAATTGATGGAAAACTAGCCAACGATTCATCAGGAACTCTATTTTGTCTCGTGAAAGTGGCCAACAATCCCTTGAGCGGGAGAGGGGTGGTGGAACTTTGCCGTTCCTTACCAACGGGTTCAAACAAACATTACACTGCAAAGAAATTTAGTGATCGTATACGACTCTACTGAGCGCAGTTTTTCTCTCGTTGCCGGAATACCAGGCGGATCGGTGTCCTCTTGATTTGAAATTCAGGGATTTGTGACTCGACACTCGCCCCCTTTATAATGCAACAGCGATATATATATATATATTTTTTTTTTGATCGCTATACACCGAATGCAAATATGACGTCCAATTTGAGTTGCCATTGTTCTGGACTGACGAGCCTCTCACACATGTAATAATGCTTTTGTATTTCCACTTGAAGACGAGGCAAGTCAGTCCAGAACAATGGCATTTCAAATTCGACGCCATATTTTGCATTCGGTGTATAGGAGGACAATTGAAGAGCATTTTAAACAAATTCAAGACATTTTGAATGAAAGCCTTAGATAACAAAGATTAGATCGTACAGCACTGAGTAATTAGCCAATTTTTATGTCAACAAGAATGCAACTAATATCCCACATTTGAGAAAACCATGGATTGCTTCTAGTTCATTGGCTGGGAAGGAACTACAGATCAGCTTTCACATTTTCATGAATAAAATTTATTATTTCGAATCGTCCAAACTGAAATTTCATATTACACCAGTGCATCAAAGAGTTGTAAAGGGAAAAACCAATTACCACATTTAAGCAAACAAGATTTTTTTTCAGCTTTTGTGGCTACTAGGATAGTACTCGCATGAGAAAGCTGTTACTGAGCTGCACATCTGGACATGTGCAGCTCAGTAACAGCTTTCTCATGCGAGTGCTAAATGATAATTCGCAATTCGATACATTACTTTCCGTTTTTTTAATTTCCGATTAGGAAAAGCAAACCTTCGGCGTTTGGACATGTCTTTTCAAGGTCCGACATGTGCTGCTTACCATGGAGTCTACTGGCAAAAGGGCCAGTGAAATATTTACACCACATGCCGAAATACGAAAATAAATATTCGGAAAATGTCTTGGTGACAGGATTGATCTAATAGTTTGAAACATGCGGACTATTAGGATTAGGAGATACTTTTATAATACTGGAGTTCTACACGAAAAAACATCGTCAAATTAAAGCTAGGAGGACTTTTTCCTCACGCGGCTAATTTATTCAAAGGTGCACCGGTATGATCATCGGAAAACGAAATCCGACACCAACAACTTTGAACGAACTTTGAAAGTGAAATTAACACTTCTTGGGCTGTCAAGAAGGAAGACCAGTGAAAATAAATTTTCAGGACCCGAGTTTACACCGTTCAATTATATGATTCACAGATAACAACATTTAACCGAAAATATCTTAAATCCAGCTATTTTTTCATTGCAAGAAAACGATGCTGAATAATAATTTATACAATACAAATGACTAATAACTTTATTTGAAAAGAGAGGATCTCTACAGAACAGCGAAGCTGCCAATCAAATGGGTCTTTTGCATGTGCGCATTTAAAATTGGACGCATGTTAATAACATAAAGGTAAACAATGATTCTTTGCGTCTGTTGGTTCTTTGGAAACAAGTTAAAACAGTCTGAAAGGATACTGCAAGGTAAACTCAAATTTTCATTGCCTACAAATTACAGCCCTTTAATTTGCTGTAAGATTCAACATCGCTGCAACACAAAGGTGAGACCATGCTGCATCTATACGAAAATTTTTTCTTTCTTGCCAAGGTTGCTTTCCCGGAGGCAAAATAGGATCGGGATAATTTGAAAAATATTCCACTTACAAATGCATGCTCGTAGATATGTAAGCATATACGACAAGAACGATTCCACTCATTCAGTGAAATGCATTCAGGATAGTATGGGAAACGCATAGTTTGGCTCCGAAAGTATCACCTAAATATCAGAACTTTGAAATAACTAAACTTTTTTCTTCATCCTTTACGTCTGGCCCCGGTTGTTCAAAGGATGGATAACTTCTTATCTTGGATAACTATCCAGTGGATAGCCTTTTTATCCATCCTTTGAACAACCGGGGCCTGGTGTATGAATTTTCGTGCGCGAGGGCAGAAATGACTGTGCTGCGACCGTCCTTGATAAAACAAGCTCCTCATATTTCGTGCATTTTAAAATTGCTTCCATTGTGAAAAAAAAATCAGCACGATAAACACACTTGATAGAGACGATACTGGGGCTGTTTTTGCAACGAGGAAAATGAGCCGCTTTCGCCCTTTATCTTCTGCATATTTCTATCCAGAGATCTTGTCTTTGCAAGAATAAGAGACACATCTGAAACTTGAAAATAAAAATTTTCGCTCTTTTTAGTCGATTATAGGCTGTAATATTGCCAGGTACAGCCAATAACCCTATTCTTCAATCTTCAAGCTCTTTCCTGGCTTCAAGAACTTCTCGTATACATCATGATGTAACTCGGTGGGCAATATGGCGCTGAAACAAAAGTGGTCTTTGCGTCGTATCGAAAACTGAGAAAACTACTTCGCTAAAGCCTACTGAAATGCATTAGGTGTTCATGTTACTATTTTTTTAACATAATGATGAGCCTTTCCTATCAGAAATTATAAAAATAACTCTTTTGAGCTTCTGTGGTTTGACTGAGGGAAAATCCACAACAAATGAAAGCAATAAGGCATCAAATGGTTGTGATGGAAAGCCTTGCCTATCACACAGGTTCTTAAAAGAGCGAGGCCGTATGTTTGCAACCTGATAAAAGGGTTTAAAGTTATTCAGATTAAGCCTCCGAATCATGTTACTTAAATAGGCTACCAATTTACTTGAATAAACGCCGAAGCAGCTATTCAATTATTAGCGTTTTCGATGCGGCGTTTATTGAATGGCGACATTCATTTCAAAATCATCTTTCTTCAGTCACTTACATCGATCACAACAAATCATTATGTGACCCAGAAACTTCTGTTAACGGCTCCAGTTTCTCGCTTCTAGATGTACATCATCGAAGGATGGTGGAGCCGAGGGAACCCAATTATATCATTCTTAATTTTCTCGGTTTTCTCATAAATCTCAAATAAACGTAGCATTCTTCTGATTGAAGGCTGATAGTTTCTAAAGAAACTGTTTGGGGCTGCGTCGGTGGGAGTAACGAAATAATTTGAATATATCAACAAAGTTGAAATGGTAAATTGGCCACCGTTACGATTATAAAATCTGACGTTTCGAGCGTTAGCCCTTCGTCGGAGCGAATAGAGGAATTGTGGGTTGTGTGTGCTTTTAAAGGCAGAAAAAGGAGCTACGTGATTGGTGGGAACATGGCAACGAGAAAAACACGAATAAATTAGTGGAATGAAAAGCGTTCGTTGATACCTGTGGGATTTAGACTGCCGGTTTGAAAGATGAGCTTTTGTTCAAGAGTTTTCCGGCTTTCCGTGCTACCTAAGTGTAAGGAAAGACCGCAGATTGCCATGTGTTGCTTAGAATGGTTAGGTAAATTAAAATGTCTAGCGACTGGTTTCGATGTGTCCTTGTCATTCCTCTCCACGTCGCGAAGGTGTTCTCGGAATCGGTCACCTAGTCTTCTGCCTGTTTCGCCGATGTAAATCTTTTTGCAATAAGTGCAAGTTATGCAATAGATTACATTGGCGGAGGTGCACGTGAAGTGATCGGTGATCTTAATGGATCGTTTGGGTCCCGATATTTTCTCAGTGTTGTGAATGAAAGGACACGTTTTGCATCGTGCACGAGCGCATTTAAAAGTGCCTGGTTGGTCATTAGTCTGAAAAGAACTTCTGACCAAAAAATTGCCTATGTTTTTGTCGCGTTTGAATGAAATGAGCGGAGGCTGCGAAAAGATAGTGCTTGTCTCTGGATCGTTTTGAAGTAATTTAAAGTTTTTAAGAATGATGGATTTAACTGAGTGGTTGTGAGGGTGAAACGTGAGAGTGAATGGAATGCGGTCGGAATCTTCCTTATG